ACAAACACCAATGGGACCACGTGTGTGTACTCGGTGCCTCACGTCAAATCTGTAACTCCGGCGCAAATATACGCATGTAGGCAAATGCGACGGTAAATTGGCATGCTCCGCGGTACGGTCGGCCGGAAATATTCCATTAATTACAGGTATAAAAGTACGTTACGAAAATATCGTTTGCGGATTAAGCGACGCATTTTACGCTGATGGCAAAGCGCGCGACGCCATCGGGGGCAAATTGATTCTTATCTATCATTTGGTTTTCTAGCGCGGCAATGCGTAAAAAAAGGAAGCGATTTTATTAATTATTAGTGTACATAATTAAACTCTAAAAAGATATGAAGAAAGGATGATGGGAACTAAATAAAAATTAATATACTTTATATTATAGTACAATTCAGTATATTAAATTTCTATTATTGTTTTTAACAAACATTGAACAATTAAACTTTCCTGAAAATTCAATGTCAGTCTCTCGGACAGTTGTAAAATTATAATATTATTATATATTAATCACGTGTAAAATGGAGTCCTAAAATAAAAGTTCCTGCAAAGAAAAAATAGTCTAAAATATTGGACATTCATTAATAAATAATATTGCAAGGATCTCATCGCGATGTTGGCGACACTACTGAGAGCAAATAGATTTTATTTCCGATCGATATCGATCATTATTGGTACAGCAATCGATACAAGCGTCTGTCGTTGAAGCATTGAATAAATATGTGTGTCGAATAAACATCGGGAGTGCGTGTGTATGCGTCGAACGAACGTTAAATAAGTCGCGCTGTCCGAATAAATAACGAGTCGTCGGTTCGAACAAGTGTGGCGGAACGAAAGGCCTCCGAGAACATCGCGCTTCCTGAAGAGACTCTCCCCTAATCGATCCTCCGCAACCCCGGTTTAGACACTCGTGGAAGCCCCGGACGTCGACATCGCGACGCCCGTTCACGAGCTCCACCCATGTACATGCGCAAGCCAGACGGTTCGCGAGATGACATGTTCGCCAAACATCGTAAAACGGCCGCCCCGTAATCAATTAGCCCCGGCTGCAATTAGCAGGCGTACGCCCGTTTGTGAGAGTGTGTCTGAATTCACGCGCTCGCCTCACTGATGAGGCTCCTTCTCTCAAGAGACTGGATCGTCGTAAACACGATTGATAACGCGCACATTATATCACGTTATTCTACGTTATACGCAGTGGCACGTGCGTAAAGTGCGTAAAGGAAAATCCGCGCGTAGATATCGTATTATTTTTATTGCGAATAATTAGCGAGGATGCGCACATTCGTGTGCGTGTTATGTACTAGCGAATATGTACGATAGAAAAATAATGCCCGTATTCATAGTTAGATCTTGTATTTAAGAGACTCTTAAATTTATCTTTAGATGCTCAGTAGTTCAATGAATGATAATTTGAACATCTGAAGATTTATTTAAGGAAGCCTTAAATAGGCCTGACTATGAATATGGGCATAAATACTTATTAAGATTTCAACCTATCAAAACCTGGTTACATCAGAATACACGATTTTTGATAGGTTAAATTCTTAATTTATTCCTATTTTTATATAATATTCCTTCCATTGTGCGCAGGATTGCGTAATACTTTCTTATTTTATCTCTTTCACGGAAAGAACGATTTTGTTGAATGATTTTGCTATAAAAATTTAAGTAGATACAGAGACAAAGATAATTTTGTTGGATAATAAAAATAATTATGTAAGAAATTCAAGCAATGCTGCAAAGAATTGACATTCTAGCGTTCATAGTTCAACAAAATTATTTTCACCTGTACCTAAATTTTTAGACAGCAAAATCGTTCTTTCCGTGTTAAAATACAACATAATTGCGTAAAAAATTATACTTTTTGGAATTTCGAGTGAAATAATGAAATGTAGAATTCGATCGTTGAACAAGTAATAGCAACTATTCTTCTTTTATTGGTATTTTGTTTATTGATATTTCTCTGTTTATTTATCTATTCACTAAGTATCTTTGAGGTTTTTTCCTTAAATTTTAGGTCTATTTTTTATCAATTTCATATTTATGAATTTGAATCATTCATCTTCTCTTCTTTTCTCTCCAACGTAGAGCAGCTGAAAAGAATAGATCATTTCTTTTGTAAAATCTACCTTTATATTTTTCAAAACATCCATCGATTTAACTACAGTTTACGTGCAATTAGATAAATTTTCGTGACATACATACACACACGAGTCATGCCCAAATCCTCGCTTAAAATTTGGTAAACTGTACTTTTTGGTATTGCAAGGTCATCTTCTAGTTCCCTCATAGTCAAACGACGATCTTGTTCAATTGCCACTCGCATACGCTCAACATTATCCGATGTTTTTCCCGTCGCAGGTCGACCAGAACGAGAATCACTGTCAACAGACGTGCGACTATTTTTAAACTTATACCACTCTTTTATTTGTGTTTTGCCCACACACTCGTCTCCAAAGGCCTTTTGCACATTTCAATAGTTTCTGCACAAGTTTTTTCAAGTTTAAAGCAAAACTTGATGCAAATTCGTTGCTCAACTTTTTCGGTCATTTTTAGCTACTTAAAAATCCGACGAACTATACGTCCTACTAATGTCGGCGACCAACCGATAAGTTCGTAAGGTCCTACTGTTGACGTGCCTGCCCGGTAGAACACTTTGGCGCGAAGATATAAATGCAGGTCGGATACTTTTGGGACAGACCTCGTACATAAATTTTCTAATATTAATAACTGCGTGTGACTGTCCAACTCTTTGCTACAAAAACTGTACACTATACTTAAAAGGTCCTGCATTGTAGAAATTATTATATAAAAACAGGTACTTATCCGATCGTTTATTGACGAAGCACGTAATAGAAACTTGGCTTAGCGCCGAGACACTACCGTGTCTCCAGACAAAAGGAATTTACATTTTCTACTGTCAGCCACTAATCCTAGATTTACAAATTTATTTATTACCTGACCTACATCTCGTATCTTAAATCAATATATATAATATATCTAATCAATATATATAATAGATACATATATAATAAATAGGATCACGATGTGAATTTTGAACTTAATAAATATGTATTTAATATAGTTTTTTTTTATTTATAAAATATTATATATTTAATATCTTATTCTTCTAATTTTAATAAATATTTATATATTATTTTACTCTTGTATAGGAATATAAAAAGATCTCGGTGTCTCTTATTGTTAAATGCCTGCATTAATTTTCAAATTTTTCGTGGTATTTGCTGCATTAGATATTTCAAATATTCAAACATAAATAACTTATTCGCTATTTTTGACAATAAAAATAAAAATAAAAATTTTCGAAAAATGTTATCAGGTAAAGAATAAATTTCTCATGTGATATTGATGAAAAGAACGATAATTCTAAAATTTTTGTTAAAATTTATTTTAAATTAAATGAAATTTTATTAGTTTTCTATAACTGTGAAACTTGATTTTATTTAAGATGATGCAGTATTTAAGATTAATTCTTTTATATTATGAAACATTTTGAAGCAATTATATTTTCAAATAATGAATCGATGTGTGTTTGTATATAAATGTGTATGATTTTTTTTTTAAATTATGTTGACAAAAACAGAAATCGTATTACACTTGTAAAATATCGGTAACGTAGTACTCTAATTATTCTTCCAGAGTATAATCCTTACTTTCTTTAAATTAAAAATTTATTCAAATAAATGCATGCGGATCGAGTTCCAATTCTATATGATCCATTTGTTAAAATCTATTATAATTTTGATAAACAAACACTAATAACAAACGCCACGCTCATCTGATAAATTTAATTAAGCGCAGATATTAGACTGGGTTTTGACGCTATGACGCTCATTTTCAGCATAAAAACAAGTCACGTGATTAAAATTGACGCTTGGTATTCGTGAATTTTGATCACGTGACCTGTTTGGCCGCTGAAAATGAGCGTTATAGCGTCAAGTGAAAACCCAGCCTTATGTGCGAGACTGATTCGAAAAATCGCGACGGGTATAGAACAAGTGGCGACATCTAGCAGGAAACTATTAGAACATTTTATAAAATATTTGTCACAATAAATTTTCTTAAATTAAATTTAAAAAATTATGAAAAAGAAATGGCGATAATTTTAGATAAATTATATATAATGATAAATTAAGTTTAACACATTCAAATATACATAGATACACGAGAGAATATACATATTTATAGCTTATAATACTCAATTACTTGAAGATAAAGACTTATCATATGTATAAAACCAAGAAAATATTTAAATAACTTTGATCGTCATTCATTAAATATTGTACATTATATTTATAAATCATATATATTTTAATATTATAGTATCAATATAAACTATTGTATCAATATAAACTATTCAGAATATATGAGAAAAATATTACAAACGGAAAACTTAGAAAATAATTTTTGATTGTTAAACAGTTCATTCATTTAAAATTACATTTCAAAATTAATAATCAAAGCTGATTTCTTTCATTGACATTGAGTCTTTAGAATTTATGAGACATTCCATAAGGTAATAGAAAACAAAACAACGGTGTATATATTGCGAGTTTATTAATTATTATTATTATACTTAATATTTATAACATATATATATATATATTTATATATATGTATGTGTGTATGTGTGTACATATATGTATACGTACACATATGTCTGTCACGTATATACTTCCATGTACATACAGCATAACAACAAAAAGATCGCGCGCGCACGCACGCACGCACGCACACGCGCTCGTAACTCACATGAAAACTCAGTCAGACATACGTGTACATATACAAGACACCCTGTACGTTACGATACAACCGTAATACGTTTAAATAAAATACATGCAAAGAACGAATATTTTTGTTTAGCTTAAACGAGATAAGCCGTTCTATTGAATCGAAGAATCGATTCGTTACACATAGGCATCTTTATCCTCCCTTTTTTTTTCCTCATCCGTTTTGCTCTTTTTTTCCTTAAATAATCCTCTTACTAAATATTACTCTACATCATCTTTTTTTGTATCGTCCCTCGGCACGTCGGTTGTACCGTTTTCACAGAATATCCTGCAGCACGAATATGCATATATGTATACGCGTCATGCGACTGTATGTTTACGTGTACGTGTGTATACGAGGCCGAATTAGCTCTTTCAAGGCGCCTTCGGCCCGTCATAATTTATATGAAAAGCGTTATAACACATGTATACTGCCATTGTGTACGGAACATCTATTTTGTCTGCAATACGAATTCTATGAGAGATGTCGATCTAACATTGGCGGGTAACATTCCTTTCGCGAGGAGACAATCGGATTAAAATTCGGCACAGAGAAGACGCGAGAGCGCAATGACGTGTACTTCCGGTATCTATTGAATATCGGTTTCGCTCTGCGGAATTTCATCCGGTTCGCAGTTAATCGTTACGAAGATCAGATCCGTCGCGTTTCTCTTTCAGTACTTATGTTTCTGGTAGTGTACTGTTACACACCACCGTATTCTATGCGATATTCCTAAAGCTTACGATACCTCAATTTCGTTTAATTCAATTCCAATTAACGCTGATATCAATGGATTAGTCGCAACGTCTAAAAGCAGAGTTTCGTTGAAGTTGTGAAAATTTTCATCCATTTCGTGGAAGACCGACGAGATCTCGTCGGAACGTATTTCTGCGCAAGAATAGATTTAGAATGATCCTTTCAAGAGTTATAAAAATTGCAAATCCATGGTTTCACGTTTTCCCTTACGTCTAAGATTTCGCAGATTCCGTTATTTAAGGTCTCATTGAATGTCCAGAGATTTTTGGATAAAGATAAAACATTTAAAATAGAAGCCGATATCTTATATGTCACACAATGTCGCGCAAGTTTATACACACATATGTATACGATTATTTTCTTTTAATTAAAAACAATGCACAAACATATCCGAATTCGACAATTTGGCTGTTATAAAACGTTAAGGTAAGTAAGCAAACATATAAATAGAGTAACATGCTATTCCCTGTACAAAACAATAATGTGCAGATTTTTTTTTTCGAAAAATCAAGTTCAATATAATTTACAATGGGCAAATAAAATGTACGTCGTTAAAATTTATACGCGTACTGAAAAATAATAGAATTTATGTTACGTACGAGCAGCTCCAAAAACAATCGATATAAATAAATTTCATCGTCATATATATATTAGGAGATTATCATAAATATACAAGTTTAAATTTGGTGTGTGTATATATCTATATATATCTCAAAAGAATTGACTTATACATATTTGGCTTGTCAGCATCTAGAAATATAATACAAAACAAAACAAATTTTGATAGAGATAACACGCAAATCCACTAACAAAATTAAAATTTAAAAGATTTATACATTTTTACAAGCGACTCTCATTTAACTAGATGATATATTCTAATATCAAAAAAATTTCTTCTACTAATTCCGATTATATAAATATATTATTTTAACTAAAAATAAAAGATAACGTTTTCGTAATTTGCTCTTTTCCGTTAAATTACCGATCGTTTAATATTAGAAATAGCATACATGTGGACAGATTTGAGGACTCTCTTCGGAATCAGCGAGAAAAAAGTGTATTTCGCTTATATTAAAAAATTTCACATCATTCTGATAAAATACGATATTAATGCAGTACAACCAGAACTATAGGTACCAACGATGCTTATTTCTCAAACAATGTAAAATAGGCTGCCAATCTATTACATGAGAAAGATCGGCGAGCGGTATAATGCCATTAGGCTGGAGAGAAAAAGAAATGAATTATATATACAGTTCCTACCCGGCGCCTTGTTCGTTAGACCAGCAGAGCCAATGTCAGAACGATCGATTATACCCTGCCTACTCGTTGCTATCGTGGGGAACACAAGAGGCGTCAGCCAAACCACCCCGTCACGCACAGCCTTGTACGGCGACACGGGGGCGGCAAAATATGCGCATTCAGGATAGCGCATATTTTAGGTCTGCTTGAGTTTCGCGAAGTCGATCTCGGCGTAGGTGAAATTCTCCTGCGTGGACGCCGGCGACACGGGCGCTGGATTATCGACCTCCGGCAGATCGAGACTAGCATAATGCAGTATTGTCGCGCCCGGTTGAAGCTTCTCGTAGCCCTCGCTGTCCAACGGACTTGGCGTGGGCGTGGGTGTAGATGTGGGCGTAGGCGTGGGAGTCTCGTCGATGAATTTTGGCGAGGATGGCTTCGGCTGTTGCACGGTCGACGGCTTGAAACCCGTCAGGGTAGGACTGGTGTTCGGCGAGGCCGTGACGAGACGCGGTTTCGACACCGTTAGATCCGACAGTTTTTTTGTTATTACATTAATGGGCTTACCATGTTCTTGAGATGACGAAGACTTTAATATAACTCGAACATTCTTCTCTACAGGACTAGGTGGCTTCTCGCTATTCGCGTTCGATGAGGATATCGTCTCCGTCAATGGGGTAGAACACGATGTGTAAACCGTATTTGCGGGTTCCATCACTGCGTATTCATTGTTTTTATTTTGGTTAGAAAAATCTTCTCCTTTTGTCGTGGAGAACTCATCGTTTTTTTTCGTAAAAGGTTTCACAGGTGACTGAGGACTATTCAGAGAAAAGGGGAAAATCGTAGCCGATGAACCCGTTGGTGTTGCTCGCGGCGGAGAGGCGGGCGTGCTCGCTAGACTCTCGGATGTCGGACTTCCGTTCAAAGGTAGAAAATTTGGAGTTTTAGATGGCTTACTGCCCGCCTGAATCGCGATTGGTTGCGATCGCGATTTTTCCTTGCGATTGCCCGTTCGTGTTTTACGATTGTTTCGATTGTTCCCACCCATACTCATATTTATGTAGTCTTGTTCTAAACTCGGTCGCGCTTTAAAAGACATCTCGACGTAGCCCTCCGGAGGACGCCTTGGTTGCGGAAGATCTACAGGTGCTGTTCTTGTGCTACCTAAACATTCATAATAATTTTCACAAATATTATTTTTATTGCATCATATTATATAAAGAATAATATTCTATTAAGGATTTTGTTTTGCAATAAATGTTTACAAACTAATACCTGGTGGCCCATTTGTTTGATAGGTATCCTCTTGAATAGGTGATGACAATTGTTTCGGACTCGCTTCCGAATGCGTCCAATCTATTTCTATCGTACCGTCCATTTTCATATAAGGTCCCTCCGCTTCTTCTACCGGCTTTAAAGTTGTAATTACAGGTTTATGAGCGAAAGTTAGCGATGATATATGCATGTGGCTATGATTGTGGTTGGCAGTGATTGTATTATTATTGTTATTGCGATTGATCTGTAAGAAAATAATTTTATTGTTACTTAACAACAGCTTATGCAGTAATTTTATCGATAATACCTTATTTATGCCACTCATATCGACGTATGGGGCAGTAGTCGATACGGGAGCTTGTCCGGGCGACATGTCGACGTAGGAACTAGTGTCGGTGGCAGTAGAATAAGTAGAGTACAGTTGCGGTTGCGACTGAGGTTGGGAACATGATGTCGGAGGCGAAGAGAGAGCGGTTGGAATACTGGGCCTCGTGAAATCCAACTCCATGAGATCCTCCATGCGATCGGACGCTCCAGAGCAACCGGAATTGTGTCCCCAAGAGCTCGATAGCAACGGTGCAGAACTCGACTTCGAATTCGAGGTTTCCGAACCAGCTGGTAATGGCGCAGTAATTACATTGGCTAGCCTTCCGATTTCAGGCCTCTTAGACCGACTACCTACGGAAAATGCTCGTACTCTGTTGGAGTCTTGCGGAGTAATGTCCAACCTGCATAAAGATCGATATAAAGTAAAAATGCTGTTCATATCATTCATGTCGGTAGCGTATACTTAAACAATGTTTAAAGCTCCTGAGTAATCGCAACCATTGGATCGACATCGTAAATAAGAAATTTGCATACTGTGTTTGCTAGCACACACATGCGTAGCCTATTTTCGTGCTTTTTACGACTATCTACTGACTGTCGGAGGAGGGAGGGCAATAAGGACAGCTTCGCGCCAATTTTACAAATATTTTAATTGTTTTAAAGCAATCGTATTATTTCTTTTTATCCAAATTCTCTTTATTTACGAATGGCAAAAAATTTCAAGATGTCATTTCTATGTCACGATCCAATATGATCACGATAAATACTCAAGAATTAAATCTGATTAAACTCATTTAGTTGAAACATTCTCTCAAATCATGCAATTGTCACAGAATTTTGTGAATAATATTATATCAAATAATAACGTATATAATACTTAAGACCTAAATATTTTAAACTCATACCTGTTTTTACGATGCCTATTAGCTTGTTCCGGTCTCGATCCAACGGAGTAAGCTCTGGTTTGTCTGGCTTGCAGATCTTCCCCGGGTGTTAAAAAGCTGGTTACCTTGTCCAAATGATACTCAGAAAACCGCAGATCCGTACTAGGCGTGCCAGACGTAACAGAACAGCTACTGCCATCGTTCTGCGACATATCGTCCGAAAAGTGACCGTTATGACTATTTACAGGATCCATATCAACGTAACCGTCATCTCCAACTGGTGCCATCGGTACATAGCCATCCACGTTGCTTTCCTCCACAAGGGATGATCCACGGGAATGCGAATGGGCCGTTGTCGCCGGGCTCATGGGCATGTATATACCTCCACGACCTGGACTCGACCCACAGGGACTGTACATTTCACTCTGGTAGGAACTCTGCAATCAAAACGATCAATTATTGTGTTTATCCAGCAATTAAAAGTATAAAACAGTACTTTGTTTGAATTAAATATCATTTTATTTAAATAAAATATAGAAAATACGAACCAGTAAAAATAAAAATTTGATTTTATTATTTATAAATATTACAAAAAGGAAGGATTTGTTGGATTTTACTAAACATAAAAGATAATTATAAATTTCTTTGTATAAAGACTAGAAGATGATTTACGCTATCCTTACACTGTTTTATATAAAAGCTCTTTTTAATATATTAAAAGATTCAGAAGTAATATTACGAGTACACTCACCTGAGAGGGCGAATGAGATTTAAAGTTTGGCGAGTATTTCAAATGTGGATGCGATGTCGACCACAGGGCATAGTCGTCACCTTTCTTGTCTAAGATTACAGGCTCGTCAGGTGTCAAGGAATGCCCGTACCTCGAGACAGTGCTTTCTTCCAAAATATTCTCACCACAATC